GGACATCAGGAAAGTGGGTGTGGGAGGGGTACAGTTGACAGGGTGGGCCTTGGGAGAAGGTAGCAGGTAGTATGTACTTGGAGGGAGTCTAAGGAAGAGTTTTTTCAGCAGAAACAACAGATAGGTGGGTGTCCAAAGCAGAAGAGCCCCCAGGTAGAGTAGGAGGATTTGGCCGGAGGAGGCTCTGGGTGGAAGATCAGGAGGCAATCTTGTTTGGAATTATGTTTGTTTCAGATGTGATTAGTTGCGATGAAGTCATTGGAGAGGAGGGCCCTAATCTAATGAAACTGGTGTCCCTTAGAGAAGGGGGGAATACATGCAAACACCTACACCCTGGGAGAACACAGTGCAGAGATGAGGCCAGGGATGTCCACAGGCCAGAGGAGGCCAGGGATTGCTGAGGGGAGGCATGGTGTGGCCTAGACTGTCCCCAGCTCTCAGATAAAGAACTAGCCCTGCTGATCCTTTGTTCATAGACTTGGACTGTTCAGAACTGTGAGACTGTAACATTGTATTATTACTCCATTTGTAAGGCTTTGTTAGGGCAGCCTGAGTAAACAAAGTCAGCTGGTAATGTGGAGGCCCAGAGGGAGAGGAAGAGACAGATTACCCCCCTTGAGATACTCAAGGCCTTTAGATTTTCTCAAATTCACTGGGCTGAAGGGCTGGGTGTGGTTCAAGTGGTCTAGTTGTGTACCAAGCATAAGGTCCTGAGTTCAAACCCTAGTACTGACAAAAGAAGAGAAATAAAAATGGCGGAATTCACTTGTTTACATGAGGTAGGGTTTATTTCCAAAATGCAGGCACGTGCTGGTATGTACTAGCATAAGCTAGAGGCAGCATTTGAATCATGGTCTGGCTGAAAGCAGGGCTTTCTAGATCCTTCAGAAGGATTTCCTAATCTCTTCAGGATGAGTCCTCGTGTGTCTACTTTTCAAGATTCTTCTTAGGGGGCTGGAGGCATGGCTCAGTTAGTAGAGTGCTAGCCAATGAGAAAATTGGATCAAAAATAAAAAGGGTCTGGGAAGGTGGCTCAGTGGTAGAGTGCTTGCCTCACATGCATGAGGCCCTGGGTTCGATTCCTCAGCACCACATAAGCAGAAAAAGCTGGAAATGGCGCTGTGTGGCTCAAGTGGTAGAGCGCCAGCCCAGACTTCAGGCCCCATGACCAACAAAAGAAAAAGGAAAACAAAAAGATCCATCTTGGGCTTTCGTTGGAGTCTGGGTACCTGTCTGTGGCTGTCTAGGATGCACCTCTGCCAGGGACTGCTCTGTCCTCTGTCATAGTGTAGACTTCTTGACATCCCTGACCCCTCTCATCCAAGATCACTCTTGTCCTCCAGAATTCTCTCTTGGGCATGATCTGAGTTTCAGGTAGCAGAAAACTCAACTTGAATTAGTCTTAGCAATGAAGGGAATTCACTACCTCAGGGAACTGATAAGTACAGAGGAAAGATGGCCCTTGGCATGATTTGTTCAGGAACCTGGGTCCATTTCCTGGTGGTTCTTTTAACTCTGCCTTCCTCCCAGTGTGTAGTTTGGCTCCGTAGACTTGTATTGATACTCCTGGTATCAATACAAAATGGCTGCCAGTTGTAAGGAGATGACACATTTGCTTCTCCTAGGCATTGAAAAAAACACCTGACCTGTGGCTTATCTTCGGTTACATACTTACCCTCAAAAATAGGTCTCTGTGGCCATGGAGATGTCACAGAAAGAGAGGAGAAACCCTCCTTCACTTTGATCTCCTGAGCCAAGCAGTTTCTTCTGGAAGAATTTGAGGAGATGCTTAGGCAGGCACTTGAGCTGAAGGAGGGGTAAGAAAGAAACATTGCATTGTGCTACTCAGATCAGTTTATTCTTGTTGTTGTTGTTGACAGCACTGGGGCTTGAATTCAGACCTTTACATTCTCCAAAGGTTTATTTCATTCGCAGTGCTTTATGTCAGTTGAGTTACACCTCCACTTCTGACTTTTCTGCTGTTTCATTGGAGACAAGAATCTCTTGGATCTGGCTGCTTGGGCTGCTTTTGAACCTTGATCCTCAAGTCTCAGCCTCCTGAGTAGCTAGGATTGCAGGTGTGAGCTGCCACTTCCCACCTGTTCACATCATCTTGCCTAAGAGCCTTCCTTCTGAAAACGCAATGGCAAGGACAAAGTCGTGGCAAAGAGACCCGAGCGTCCTTGCCTTCAAGATTTGCCAGTTGACTGGCGCTCGAGTTGGACCTGCCAGGATCATGATTGTGGACTGAGTGTTCTCTTAGACTAGAACGATGCTTTCTTAATGGGAGTATCATAAGTCAGAGCGAGAGGGAGCAGAGATACACAAGAGTGGGAGTGGGGCCGGGGTGGGCTGACTTGCGGGAACATTTTTAAGTGGAAAATTGTACTTCAAGCTTATCTCTGGGTGCCTTTCCTCCTCCTCCATCGATAATGCGCTTTCCTACTATAAAATGATAAGTGATTCTTTCCAACCTCTGTCCTCCAGATCTACCTTCCTGTCGGAACCTAAGCCCTCACTGTTGTCACTGAGTGCTTCCCTGGAGAGCCACCAAGGTAGACCAGATGTATTTCCATGGTCATTCATATGTGTGTGTGTGTGTGTATGAATATATATAATTTATTTATTTTTCCTATTGGTTATGGGGCTTGAACTCTGGGCCTGGGTGCTGCCTCTCAGTTCTTCAACTCAAGGTGAGCACTCTACCACTTTAGCCACAATGTCACTTCTGGTTTTCTGGTGGTTTATTGGAGATAAGAGCCTCATCGACTTTCCTGCCTGGGCTGGCTTTGAACCTTGATCCTCAGATCTCAGCCTCCGGAGTAGCTAGGATTACAGGCATGAGCCACTAGCGCCCAGCTTCTACAGTCATTTGTTGAAGTAGACAGGAGTGGCTTGTCTCAGGGCTTAGAGAAAGCCCTGAAAACTGGGTTTAACATATAAGCTTGGACAACCCAGTGGGTTTGCCTGCCAGTGCCTGGCTGGCCTGTGAGTGCTGCCCCCTTGTGGTGAAAACTCTTCCCTCTTAAGCAACTTGGCTTGCTTGTGAAGTGTCATGCACTCTAGGCATGAACTGCCTTATCTCAAGGTAACTGAGAGGGATTCCCTTCCTTCTGGGGCTACTCTGTCTTCAAGTCCTTTCTGGTCCAGGCATCAGATCCAAAGAGACATGCGTCAGTAAAAAGTAGTGTAACTCCCAGGCAATGGTCTTCTGACACTTCCTATTGTTCTCCCATCCCAGAGAAGATCACAACTCGGCCGAAAAAAATACACTGTCCAGCGCGTACCCCGACCCCAGCCAAAACCAAAGCAAAGCCAACCAAACAAAACCAATATGGCTTTCAACAGCACAACTGCAGGCATGAGCAACATGGAAATTTGGCCTTTATGGGAGGGACAGGATTTACACTTAGAAAGATTGGCAGCGACTTCAAATAGCATAAGAGGCTGGGCAGGAGCCATGCAGCCTGGCTATAGAAGCAAAGCTGACAGACATACCAGAGGTATAAGTATGTGGCCAAAAAAGGCCGATTCTAGAGGCTAGAAGTGATTTGTGCTTCATGAGTCACAAGAAACAAGTCATATTTTTCCCCTTCTATAACTATAGTCAAGAACTTGGAATATTCCTTGGCAGATGATGTGAAGACAAATTGGGGGAGTTTTATTGTATTTTATTACAATTTTGCCAGTTCTGGGGCTTGAACTCAGGTCCTGGGCACTGTCCTTGAGTTTCTTTGCTCAAGGCTACCACTCTACCACTTGAGCCACAGTGCCACTTTTGGCTTTTTCTGTTTATGTGATACTGAGGAATTGAATCTAGGGCTTCATGGGTGTTAGGCAAGTACTTTACCACCAAGCCACATTCCCAGCTCTGTTTTTATTATGTATGTATGTATGTATGTTCTAGTACTTGGGCTTGAATTCTGGTCTGGGCATTGTCTCTTAGCTTTTTCTGGCTCAAGTTCGTGCTCAATAACTTGAGTCACAGCTTCACTTCCAGATTTTTGGTGGTTAATTGATGACAAAAGTGTTGGATTTGTCTGTCTAGGCTGGCTTCAAATTGATCCTTAGATCTTAGCCTCCTGAAAAGCTAGGTTGAGATTCTTATTTTCTAGCAGCTCACAGTGTAGGGGCAGAGCCTGGCTTGTAAACTCATGACTACTGTACAGTAGAGTTTATGCTAAAATGGAGAAGTGATTTAAATGACAGAGGAATAAGGCTAGTAGACAGCTAGGGCAGCTTCCCAGAGTTGCTGCCCTTTATTACTAAATGGGGAGCAATATTGACATGGACCCCCAAGCTTTCTGCCTGTGACTGTTCCAGCCCTAATGATCTCTCTGCCCTCCAGTCAGACTCCAGGAATGGTCCGTGTTCTAAGCCCAGAGCTACTCAAACCATCCAATGACTGGTAATGATTGTCTGAAAGAGAGGACTTGGGTTTCTCCTCTAAATCTTGACTATGCTAAAGAAGTCTAAGATAGAATTAAAAATTATATACTTAGCCAAGTATCTGTGGCTCCTACCTATAAGTCTAGATCCTCAGGAAATGGAGCTATGGTTCAAGTGGTAGAGTGCCAGCTGTAAGTAAAAGTGAGAGACTCTTTATACCAGCTTACCAGTCTATGGTGGAGGGCTCCACCATACAACCTTAGCTATCTAAAGACCCATCCTTTATTTAGCCTCTCTCCTTGCCAGCAACATTGGACACTTTGGAAGATGACCCACTTGGGAATTTGAGGATAAACAAGTAGAGGCAAATTCAGGCAATGGAGAGAGTCAAAGTGATCATCCACAAAGTGGAGAGTCCAGACAACGAAACCCTCAACTCCAGCTTCGCACAAGGTACCTTGCTGGACATAGGGACCCCTGGAAACTTGGATGCCCAGAATCCTATGACTTAAATCTTTAGTTCACCAAATATGGGCATGGGTGGGACTCAGAAGGGAGGTGTGGTTTGCTGTGGTTTCTTTGTTTCCCTTTATTCTTCCAGTTCCTCTAACTGTTAGGTTACTCTGGTTTCTGGGCCTCAAGCTCAGTGGTTGAACACACCTGGCTGGTGCCTCAGGTAGGAATCCAACTCTGTTGGCCAAGACTTTTCTTTAGTGGGAGGGAGGACTGATTGGACTGAACTTTGGAAAATTCACTCATTTCTCTAGGATCTGGGTTTCTGTCTCCTCCCTGGGACCACGCATTCAACCTTGACCTTCATGGTTATAGCAGATGACAAAATGTCACAACCTCTTCACCTTTTCCTTGTGTGTGTGTGTGTGTGTGTGTTTGTGTCTCGGGGCTTGTGCTCAGGGCCTGAACATTGTCTCTGAGCTTTTTATCTCAAGGCTAGTGTTCTACCACTTCTGGCTTTTTGGTGGTTCATTGGAGAGAAAAGTCTCAAGGACTTTCCTGCCAGGGTTGGCTTTGAACCTCAATCCTTAGATCTCAGCCTCCTGAGTAGCTAGGATTATAGCTTTCCTTTTTTATTTCTCTCCTGTGGTGGGCAGAGATAGACAATTCTCTAATGCAGTGCTTTTCCCTCAAATGTGGTTTTCTGTCAAAATGCAGTCACGGGCAGGGTGTGTGGGTGTGAATGAACTTAACAGTATTTTACAGACTGGGAGGCAAAAGGGAGGTTTGCTGTGTCCCTTAACTTGCAGGTAGGAAAATGGAAATCTCTAGGGACAAAAGGCCTCAGTAAAGACCACACGGGAGGTAAGAATGCCTGGAAACTTCCAAAGGCTTTTAGACTGTTCTCTGGAGAGCCCTGGGGGTCCAGAAGAGGGTCATTAGGGATGTCTGGGAGAAGAGAAGAGCATACTGCCCCTTCCCCAGCAGCTCAGCCTCCATCTAGCCCTCCTGGGCTTCCAGGAGGGTTTTGTTTCTACCAAGTATTCATGAGAATGATACTACTACTACTACTAGTACTACTAATGATTTGAAAACTACTGCATGATTCTACAGATGTTTAGGAGGCATCTCAGGGGCCAAAATAGAGACTTGATTTTCCAATCGTGTGAAAGTGTGCCCATCTGACCATTCTGTTTTTCATTTCCATTATAGTAGTCAATAAATAAATCCCATGAGCTACTCAAACAAATTTATTTAACTATTCATTCAAATAACTTTTTGTTGTTGTTGGTGGCTGTGGAGTTTGAATTCAGGACTTGGGCACTGTCCTTGAGATCCTTCACTCAAGGCTGGTGCTCTACAACTTTGAGCCATAGCTCCACTTTGGTTTTCTGGAGGTTAATTGGAGATAAGAGTCTCACAGACTTTTCCTGCCCAGGCTAGATTTGAAGGGAGATCCTCAGATCTCAGCCTCCTGAGGAGCATGAGTCACTAATGCCCAGCTCACATAATTTAAACATTTAAATAATTAAAACAATAACCTAAATAATAAATTAAGTAAATATTAATTTTATTTGAATATATAACTGTTTATTCAGATAAACAAATTTAATCAAATAAATAAATTACAGGAGTTATTTACTTTATTACAAATAGGCTTTGTGCTAAAGGATTTTGCCAACTGTTGAGTAATGTAATTTATTTTTGCTGCTGGTACTGAGGCTTGATCAGGACTTGGAACACCTTAGCTTTTTATTCAAGGCTAGTCCTCTATCACTTGAGCCACAGTTCTCCTTCCGGCTTTTTGGTGGTAAATTGGAAATAAGAGTCTCACTGTCTTTCCTGCCTAGGCTGGATTCTAGCTGTGATTCTCAGATCTCAGCCTTCTGAGCAGCAAGGATTACAGGTGTGAATCACTGGTGCCTGGCCAAGTTATATAATCTTCTGAAGACATTTAAGGTAGGCTAGACTAAACTATGATATAGGTTAGGTGTATTGAATATGCTCAGTTTATGACATGTCTCTGGTGGGCTCCATTGTAAGCTGAGGAGCACCATGCAGTTTAGTGTAATTTATCACCATTTCTTCCTTCTCTCAGTAGATCTTTCTTTGTGCTGGTACTGGCTCTTGAAATCAGGGCCATGAACTATTGCTTGGCTTTTTAATTCACAACTGGTGCTCTACTACTTGAGCCACCAGCTCCTGGCTTCTCCTAGATTTTAAGAGTAAATAAGATTCAGGGAGCACATAGGCATAATGAAGTGTAAAGGGAGAGCTGGGAGAGGCTTTTCTCTTCCCGTTTTTCTGACTACTGGCCGTGCCCTAAATAGACATTTAGGTTTTATACAAGAGCAGCCTGGTCCTCCCACATAAATGTCTGGCTTGGCTAGAATGGGAAGAGAGAGAGCTGGGGGTAAAGCTGAGCCAATCAAAGGCAAAGAAAGACATTTTCCCTGTAGTCTATACTCAGGCTGGGCCTTGGACTTTTGGAAGGTTCATAACACCAAAAAGCCAACTTCTAATGAAGCTAAAGTTGAAGGGCGTGTGTGTGTGTGTGTGTGTGTGTGTGTGTGTGTGTGTGTGTGTGTGTGTGTGTGTGTGTGAATCTGTGTGATCCCCGGTGGCCAAAGCAACAGAGAAGCAATTGCTATCCCAGTAACTAAATTACTTTTTTTTTCTCTTCAACTCTTTCAATTAGATATCACCATGACCCAAAGTAAGGAGTTCATCTTCACTGCTGCTGATCTGGACTTTGATTATGACTTTGGAAACTTCACTGGCATGCCACCTGTTGGGTATGAGTACAGCCCCTGTATAATAGACCCTCAGACTGTCAACAAGAACATTGTTATTGTCATCTATTCCCTGGTGTTCCTGCTAAGCCTTCTGGGAAACTCCTTAGTGATGCTGGTCATCTTATACAGTCGGGTGAGCCGCTCCGTCACTGATGTCTACCTGCTGAACCTGGCCATAGCAGACCTGCTCTTTGCCCTGACCTTACCCATCTGGGCAGCTGCCAAAGAGAAAGGCTGGGTTTTTGGCACACCCCTGTGCAAGGTGGTATCCCTCTTGAAGGAAGTCAACTTCTACAGTGGTATCTTGTTACTGGCTTGCATCAGCATGGACCGCTACTTGGCCATTGTTCACGCCACACGCACACTGACCCAGAAGCGTCATTTGGTGAAATTCATATGTATGGGCATCTGGGGGCTGTCTTTGTTGCTATCCCTGCCTTTCTTTATCTTCCGTGAGGCCTATAGTCCAAATAACTCAAGCCCAGCCTGTTATGAGGTCCTGGGCAATAATACAGCCAAATGGCGAATGGTGTTACGTATCCTGCCCCACACCTTCGGCTTCCTCCTGCCCCTGCTGGTCATGCTGTTCTGCTATGGATTCACAATGCGCACACTGTTTAAGACCCAGACGGGGCAGAAGCACCGTGCCATGCGGGTCATCTTTGCTGTGGTGCTTGTCTTCCTGCTCTGCTGGCTGCCCTACAATCTGGTCCTGTTGGCAGATACCCTCATGAGGACCGGCATGATTGAAGAGACCTGTGAGCGCCGCAGTGACATTGACCGGGCCATGGAGGCCACTGAGATTCTAGGTTTCCTCCACAGCTGCCTCAACCCCATCATCTACGCCTTCATTGGCCAAAATTTCCGCAATGGATTCCTCAAGATCTTGGCCACCCACGGCCTGGTTAGCAAGGAGTTCTTGACACGTCATCGTGTTCCATCTTATACTTCTTCCTCCATCACTGTCCCCTCAAACCTCTGAAAAGTACCACCGAAAGAAAATCTCGCCCTCCAAGGAAAGAATAACCATCACCCCAAGATGGCATGTGTGTGCTGTTCGTCTGCTCTGGGCAGATGCTCTCTGGGTTTGAGAGGAAGGCATCTTCTGGAAGGAGTCTTCAGGCTCACACACCTCTTCTGAGGAAGTGCTGAGAGACTTCCTACACTCGTGTCTCACTTCCATGAACTGGAGAGTCATCCTTTCCTTTGAACTCAGCCATCTTGGATCTCCCAGCTGGGCAACCAGAATGCTTCTATCTGTAGTTTGAATCCAACATTCAAGAATTGGGACTGACAATGGTTTCCTTTGTGGGCTGGACTTTCCTGATGATCCTCTCTAGACTGCAAATGCTGAGCATGGCCTCGTCAGGTTCGAGCTAAAGTAGCTCTATGATCTGAGCTCGTGTCTCAGATATCACTTGTGTGTGCTGGAGACACTCAGCCAGCTACTACTGCGAGATCAAGCTACAAGGTAGCCGTGTATTGGAGCTGGAAAGCATCTCCCCTGGGAAGCCAGACCCTTTGGGAATCCCCTTCTTCCCATGGTCAGCATCCCAGACAAGATGATGCTATGTGTGCTAAGTCCCTGCTAACCACAGACCAAACAAGACTGACCAGCAGCTTTAGTTCTTGTCCTTCTGGTGCTTCCAATCTGATTTGGAGCATCAGCAATGTTATTGACACAGCCGTCAATCAGTTGGACAGAGAGCGCTCTCCAATAAAACTTTTGTTCCATGTTTGTCCCTGTGGAAGTGGGTTGGGGTTTGTGACATAGAGTAAGAAGTGTGTGTGTGGTATGGCTGGTTGTTCCTGAAGTAGAATGGGCGTGGCTTTCTCCCCAAAGCATTTCTAGGCCGACAAGCTTGTCCCTGGGATTTCACCCTTGCTAGAATTGCTTCTGGAAGCACAGTCTCGTGATCACCCTTACACCCCAGGCTGAGGAGAGTCCCTTTGTCCCTTTGTGAATGGAAGGATCCTTCAGAGAGTCTCAGCTTCAACTCCATTTGAATGTCTTCTCTGGGTGCACCTTCGCTGGATCCCTGAGATGAATAGCTCCCAATTCTCTCCTTCCAGAAGCTTCCTTAGAACCTGCTATTTCTACATCTGATTTTCCCTGATGAAGGCAGGAGCCTTCTGTTTTGTTTACTCTACATCCTTGGTGTCTGATTCATTCTTGGGACCCAATAAATGCCCTCAGTAAATCTTATTGAATGAGTGAGTTATATTCAAAATGCTCATTTCACTCCATCTGCTCAGAGCATCTATTTCTTTTCACTTGTCCAGTCTCTGTATTTCACTCATCGAGTTTGCCTATGTGGTTTCTTTTTATTTCAGTTTTAGCTGTGTAAAAATGTTGCAAGTCAGTACTGAAGACATCAGAGTTCATTTGATTGCTTATGCTAGAAAAGCAAACTAGCTTAAAGGAAAACAGAGAAGGCGTTAGTTTATGGGAAATAGGGTCATTTTTTTCCTTTAATTTTTTTATTAGCATGCCTTAGTTCTACATGGTGCGGGGGGGGGGGGGTTGTTATTTTTTAAATAAAAAAAAAACTTTTTCCTGATTATAGTTTTCTATCCCTTTTCCAAGCATTTTTCTTAGTTTATATTAGCTCTACAGAGGGGAATTTCACGGTTACATTTCCACATACATTTACAATATATTCCAATTAATCTCACAAGTAGAGTTTTTATTGTGACACTTTCATACCTGCATATAATGTATGCTGATTAAATGCATTCCCTTCATCTCCTTTTTCCCTTTCCTAAAAGAATGCAGTAGATTTCATTATTCTCTTTTCACACATGCATAGAAAGTACTTCAACCATTTTTAAATGTTTTCATTATCTTTAAATAGTTGTACAAAGGGGTTCAAGCCAACCTGCCAATTTATGAGTATAATGCATCGTGATCAAGGTCACCCTTTGTATCATTCTCAACTTCAACCATATTTACTCTCCTACACCTCATTCCTCTGTGCTTTGACCTAGCTGTCCTTAGATTACAATCCACTATCTTACTCCTCCCATGCAGCTGGACTCCAGAGAGGCTTGTTGATTGAGATGGGGTTGCTAGTTCTTTTTGCTCAGTCTGGCTCTGCAACACAGTCCTCTCAATTTCTGCCTCCTGGGTAGTGAACATTCCAGTTGGCACTGCCATACCCAGTTCATAATAGCAGCATAGCTAGCTGTCGGTGTCCTTGGAGCTGTGAGGGATCCAGCCTAGACTCCAGTCTAGGCCTGTAGTCAAGTCACCTAGAAACTCAATGATTTTGTTAGGTGCCTGTATTTTTTTTGTTTTTTGCTTTTTTTGTTTGCTATCATTTGAATGTGGAAAAAAGGGTGGAGAATAGATTTTACTATGCAAAACATGGAGTCAAAGGACTTTGAAAGAGACAATAAGTGTAATAATATTGAGGGTATCCATTTGCAGACATGCCCGAACATCTAAAACACAGCTGGGTTCATGCCTGTAATCTTGACTATTCAAGAGACTGAGATCTGAAGATTACAGCTCAAAACCAGCCTAAGCAGGTGAGACTCTTATCTCCAATTATCCAGCCAAAAACCAGAAGTGAAGGCATGGCTCAAGTGGGAGAGCACCAGCTTTGAGTGGAGAAAGCCAAGAAATCAAGGCCTTGAAGTTCAAGCCTCACTACCAGCAGAGAGAGAAAAAAAGCACACATGTCTTTTTTTTTTTTTTTTGCCTGAGCTGGGGCTTCTTGAACCTAGGGCTTGGGTGCTGTCCCTGAGCCTCTTTGTGCTCAAGGCTAGCACTCTACCACTTGAGCCATAGCACCACTCCTGGCTTTTTCTTAGAGTTTATTGAAGATAAGTCTCATGGACTTTTCTGCCCTGACTGGCTTTGAACTGCCATCCTCAGATCTTAGCCTCCTGAGTAGCTAGGATCATAGGCATGAACCTATCATTTATTTTATTTTTATTTTTTAGTGTGTGCCTATCCTGGGGCCTGAATCCAGGGTCTGGGCACTGAGCTTTTGTGCTCAAAGTTATTTGATTTGCCACTTCCAGCCTCTTGGTGGCTCATTGGAGATAAGAGTCTCATGGACTTTCCTGCCTGGGCTGGCTTGGAACTGCAATCCTCAGATCTCAGCTAGGATTATAACGTGAGCCACCAGCAGACATGACTTTTATTCTGTGCATCTGTTCCACCCAGGGAGATTTCAACTTACTTAACATGAAAAAAATGGAGGTCTCTTCAATTCTTTTTTTTTTTTTTTGTCGGTCATGGGGCTTGAACCCTGTGCTTGGGCGCTGTCCCTCAGCTCTTCAGCTCAAGGCTAGCACCCTACCACTTGAGCCACAGTGCCACTTCCGGCTTTTTTCTGCTTACGTGGTACTGGGGAATCAAACCCAGGGCCTCATGCATGCAAGGCAAGCACTCTACCACTGAGCCACCTTCCTAGCCCTCTGCTTCAATTCTAAATCTATCCTTTTTACCATTTCTAAAATTATTTAATTTCCCTGTCACCTAACCTATCTACTAGTCCTCAAGTGTGCCTTGAAGGTGCATGTCAGACCTTTATGTGGGAATGGGCTTTCTAAGGAGAATACAACTCCATTACCTTCATCTTTGGTCTGGGGCAGGGGCCATTTGGGGTTTTAGAATGGCACTGTCTCCTCATCCCTACCTAGGCTAACATTGTGCCCTCAAGTGCTCAGGACCTTAATTCCTTGCGGGGAAGGGATGGCTGCTTCCTGATGATTTGGGGGTAACAGGAGTACTCAAGGTCCAGATCCTGCTTAGGTGGCCAGGGCTGCTAAGACTGGGGCACTGTCGGTCCAGTAGTGCATCTATAGTCTTCATGAAATGAAGCAACCATTGTGTCTAAGGGCGAGAAGATGTTCTGTTGCCTAGAGGTGAGAAATTTAACAAGAGAATTAAAATGTAGAGGTCTGCTAGCTCACACAAAGCCCTGAGCAGACCACCCCTATCCCAACCTCCCAACCCTCTTCCCCCAAAAAAATTAGAGATCTGAATGAAGAAGGATTAGGAGGAAGGCACAGGAAGAATGCAGAACTATTTGCAGGTCCCGTTAAGAGTCATGTGGTTTTTAATAAAAGCAGTTTTAAGTATCTGCTGTAATTCCTCCCCTTCGGCTCAATGGTGAAGGAATTAAGGTGTCAGCCAATCTGGCTTTGCATATTTCCTGGCTGGGGGATTTCTAGTACCTCAGACATTGTAATGGCTGAAATATCCAAGCACAAAGCACCCATTGCAGAAGCCTAAAGGTAGAAGCATTGTAAAGCAGAATGATAGGGAGAGTCCAAGGCAAAAAGTAATATTTGTCTTCTGTCACAGGTACCTCTAGGGCTTACGTGTCAGATAACCATGCAGCAGTACCCTTTCTGCATAATCTCTTGGCCTTTTTTATTTGTCAGCCATGGGGCTTGAACTCGGCCTGGGTGCTGCCCCTCAACTCTTCAGTTGAAGGCTAGCGTTCTACCACTTAAGCCATAGTGCCACTTCAGGTTTTCTGAGTGGTTAACTGGAGCTAAGAGTGTCATGGACTTTCCTGCCCGGGCTGGCTTTGAACTGAGATCTTCAGATCTCAGCCTCCTGAGTAGCTAGGACTATAGGTGTGAGCCACCTGCACCCGGCTTCCTTCGTCTTTTGAGTGCTGGGATTAGAGATGTGTACCACTACGCTTGGCATGATGCATTTGGATGTGGAAAACTTGCCTCTTAAGTAATTCTTCTTGAAGAATTCACTTAGTTATTTACTTACCAGTCCTGGGGCTTGAACTCAGGGTCTGGGCACTGTCCTTGAGCTTTTTTGCTCAAGGCTAGTGAGCTGCCACTTGAGCTACAGCTCCACTTCTAGCTTTTTGGTGGCTAATTGGAGACAGACATCTCAGGACTTTTCTAGTCTGGCTTTGAATTTCAGTCCTCAGTTCTCAGTCTCCTGAGTAGCTGGGTATGAACCACAAGCATCCAGCTGATTTTTTTCTTTTGTGTCAGTAGTAGGGCTTGAACTTTGGGATTGGGTGCTGTCTCTGAGCTCTTTTGTTTGAGGCTCATGCTCTGCTACTTGAGCCACAGTTCTACTTCCAGCTTATTGGTGGTTAATTGGCCACAAGAATCTCTTGGATTTTGCTGCCTCAACTGGCTTCAACCTGTTATCCTCAGATTTCCACATCCTGAGTTGCTAGGGTTACAGGCGTGAGCCGCCAATGCCCCCTTTGTGGTTTGGTTTTAATTGTTCTGCATCTCTGGGCTTAGCTGTGTTCTGGTGTGATTCCATACAGTGGGAGAAGCTGAAACAGGGGAGCTTTAGACCCCAGACTCAAACCTCAGGAGGCCCAGATGGTCAGGTTCTGCCACTTAGCCCTATGCTCCAAATAAGAGACATAGTGAAGGGCAGAGAAAGGAGATTTATTCCATGGCGGCCACAGGAAGACAACATGTCAGTACAACTTCAGGCATCTTCAGCTGCCTTCAGGGGTACAGATCTTTGCCTTAGCTTTAAGTAGACAGGGAACTGGGAGGACAGGGGTGAGTGGAAACAGGCCCAAGTCACAGATGTGGCTTGATGTGCCATTAGCGTGGGGGCTTTGTCTCTAGGGGAGTTCTGGAGAAGCTGATATCTCTTCATCATTGGAGGGGAGCAGGAACAAGTCAGTCACTGTGGACAGAGGCGGTGGTCAGTAGCTTCTGGCCGATCTCTTCGGAGCAGTTTTGTCTTTTACCACAAAATGATAAGAAGATGACACTGCCTGTCTGAGGGGCAGTTTGACTTTTGCCACAAAGCATTTATCAGTGAATCTTGTCCTTCCTGGAGGTGATTGCAAAGGAACTTCAGGCGAGAATGACTCAGATCAAAGAGCAAAGGACATGCATGTGTGTATCTGGATAACCAACTTTTATCTTCATTTTAATTCATTCATAAACTCAGCAAAGGCAGCTTTGAAATTGCTTCTTTCAAAGTGATGGCTGAGCACCAATGTCAATAAACTCTTTTGGCCCATTCAGGCATTTTGGCAAAATGTAGGATTTAGAGTAGTAGCTCTTAGTCTAGGCTTACTTGAAATCCATTTTTAAATTTATTCTGCCTATCTTGTAAATAATGTTCAGGTCAGGTGCTGGTATCTAATGCCTGTAATCCTAGCTGCTCAGGAGGCTGAGATCTGAGGATCATAGTTCAAAGCCAGCCCTGACGGGAAAGTCCGTGAGACTTTTGTCTCTAAT